CGGGTTGTTTAAAATATAGAACAATACCTACGCCGTTTGTTCTTCTGTTTTATTGGCCACCGTTTTGATTGAAGACTATAATAGTATTATAACATCCTTATAGGCCTTCCGACTCAACGTTGGACTTTTGGCACGGATTACTATTGTATAATACTATTGGACTCCGTCTTCCTCATTACGTCTTTGGTGCAGTCACTTGCAGAGGAACACCTGTCAACCAAGTGAACTTAGTTTGTGGTCGTTGTCCTCACGAGGCAGTTAACAAGTAACATTCATTCTATAGTAACTGTTAGCGTCTGTTTGTTTAATATACCTTTTGTATTGCTAACGGTATTTTATTACCTTTGTTTTTACTAACGGACAGACATCTAGGTTTCTTAATCATTAATCTGTTTTGGTATATCAGTGTTAACCTAGTGTATCAATATATTTTGTGTAAGCTCCTTTTGTTTGGGGACCACCACAAGTGTTGTGTCCGCATACACATTCACTTACAAAGTATGTCTGTCAGTGTTATCCACGTGCATTCGTGGCTTAAGGTAGAACACTTGAACATACCAATATTACTGGAGGGAAAAGGGTCAGTACATAGATCGGAAGGGTTATGGAATGCATGGGACCTTATTCGGCCTCCATCGGCTATTTGTGTGACGAACCCTGGCCGACCATTGGCGATAACTACATTGTCCGGTCTTGTGGTTGATAGCTTTGAGTTCCTGTAACTGACGATTTCCTCGGAAGAATCATGAGTTACCTCAGGCTCAGTGACATTGTCAGCCATATCTTGATCCAATACACAGTGAAAGTAAACTTCTTCGGCATATCGCTGTGCGGCTTGTTTAGCCGCAGCAAATCCGCAGTGTACTGAACGCCTAATTTTCCTCATGTATGATTCAAAAGGAAAGGCAGAGAACGACTCTAAACTACCATGTTCTATAACGTCCTCTACAATGTGCTTTAAACTATGCACAGGGTTAAGCCTGTAACTAAACAGATCAGTGTAGTAAGTAGCGCTGCCTGTTTCTAATGAGTGTACTGATTCAAATCAGTCTGATTAAAAACAAGAAAAAACGTGCTTTTTATACTGTTGCTGTCATACATTATAAGATAGCGATAAGTATGCTTGGTGTTTATTTCTAGACTGTACATCTATCACTGATCATATTTCATGATCACTGTCATTAAAGTTTCCTCAGCAATAACATCGGTAGCAGGATAGCTAAGCGTCTGAGCTTTTATTCCCCGCAAAACAGCAGTATACAGTTTTAGAAGTTGAGTGTTCTGTGTCAATTAAATGCAGCTGGCTGTGGACAAATGTTAAGAATGTTTTTGACAACTGGGACTTTTAGTTTATCAGACACTAACTCTGCTTGTATGTTTTCCTGTTAAACTAGACGCAGATGCATGGGAATACTTAAATGGGAGCAAAATAATAAAAGCATTGCAATACGGTACTAAGCCCATGTTATGCTTTGCGCAAGTAATAGTAGCTGACCTTATCTAATATTCACGAACTCAAGGCAAATCACAACTGCATAAGTTCTTTGCTAAAAAACATGTGATTTGGTTATTTATCTATTCCAACGCAACAGGAGTGAGCCTTCACTGATCCTAAAAACTGTTTCGCCCTTAAAACTATGGCCCTATGGAACTGTTTACGAGAGACCCAACTAACAGCAAATTATCAAAAGGATGCTGGATGTCCATTTTAGTCTCACAACCACTTCCAGTACTTATTGAGTTACTTCTTCTACCCTTTCGTTTGAAAAAAAAACACCAAAGACTGCAGCTTAACATTACCAATGCAACTTTTAAACGGGAACTTGGTCTAAACCTTTGTTTGATATTCGATTCTTGATGAAAGTTCTTGAATAAATTTTCAAATCTAATGCTACTTTGTTTTATCTACTTAATCGTTGCAAGAAACTTGTGATACACGAGCTTATCAGCACCTAGTTCATGTGTAGTAAATTTAAGTGATTTGGTACATATCTTCGTCATTTTCTTGGGAAACCTACAGACTCGGGTCCTCTCACAACTTATTCTAGCCACCATGAGTTGTCACGGCAGCTGATGGATGGACACGCGTTACACATCCTAACCGTCCCTGCGTCTAATCTCATAGCTTCTTATTCAAATGCCATATGATAAGCTAGTAATAGTAATAATAAAATACCTACACTAATGGAACACTATTAACTCAAAGGCACCCTGTATGGTACCTTACATTGGTCTACGCACTCGCTTAGCTCTTTAGTGAGAATATTACTACAATCCTGCTAAAAATCCCATGAACCCCCCTATCTCCATTAAAACAAATAAGTCTGTATTTGCTGCATATAGGGATTTTATTTTTCAGAAGAATTAACAGAATTGGAGCAAAATGGCAGTATACAGCAGATGCACGTGGTACATGTCTTCATCGATTAACTGAAATAGAGAATACGGATATTAGCTTAACAGGCTTATTTAGAAAGACTAGTGTCTACTTTGAACTTACTGCGTGAAAAAGTTATGCTGGAACTACGAATAATGTAGGAATCTAGTCCCCCAGCGCGTACGAAGCGCTCAAACTGGAAGACGGTTGTCCAAAAATAATTCGAATATGAAGGTGAGAATTTGCAGATACTTTTCATCGTAAAGGTGAACATATTAGGTACCGGTTGACATTATATCGTAGAAAGGCACAAATTTGTGAGTGAAGTATGATCTATAAAGAAGTGGGCTTGACAGTTAATTACCTTTTTACTCCCTGATCATGACCCTTCGGCTTCATTTTATGGCCAAAACAGCAAACATACACTACACACTGATAGCAGATTTCCGCCTCTTCAATGTTAAACTTGCTTTAACGCACTACGTAATGAGTAAAACCCCTTTATTACTGCTACATGGCATATTTTATATAACAAACCCTCTGCAATAGATTGGTAGCATCTGTGACTTCATCTATGGTTGTCGGAAGTCTGATTCCTTTCGAAAACTACTGATATTCCCTACTGCTGGGCACTCAGTATTAGTTTGACTCGTTGATGGGATACTGTTGTTCATAATACTGAAGAAAATTAAAAACCGGAGATTGTTTCCTTTCATTTTGCCGATAACATCATAAAGGACAGTTAGAAACCAACATGCGGACAGTTAGTCACAGGCGGCAGCAACAGTTATTTTAGCTGAAAAAAACGAACTTCGGCTTTGGATATCTAGAAAACAAGTCAAAACAGAGACACATCCATCGTAAAAATACCTGGGGTGGAGTTTATCTCAATTATAACAACTTCTGTCCTATGAGTTATAAAAAGGGTGTTGTACGAAACCTTTTTGACTGCGCACGCAAAATCTGCTCAAAGGAGTGCCGTGAAGAAGAAATTGCCACAATCACCAATTGCCTACGTGAAAATGGATATCCAGAGAAATTCATCCACAAATATGCTAATACCAACTGTCCGATTAAGCATGTTACAGTGGAAAGGAAAACTTGTTTCCTATACTTGCGCTTCAAAGGAGATGAAGTCACCGGAATTATCAATCACGGAATAAATTCCGCTTTGAAAGTAGCCTACACGGCAGCCAAACTGACGACGTTATGGGAAACGAACTGCTCACTGAAACAAACTAAAATCGACAAGTCCTCTTTCCTCAGTAGCTCCAACTGCGCTTACCAATTCACATGTACGTGCCATAGCACATACATTGGAAGAACTGAGAGAAGAGTACATATTCGCATTTCTGAGCATGTTCCGAAGAACTTGAGGCTGCGAGGGACTAAGGCTTTCAACAGTGCAATAGCTCGGCATCTACTTGACACTGGGCATACCGTCGACATTCTGCATGCTTTTAAAATTATCAATAGACAAAGAAGTACGACCACTCTCCGTTTTGCTGAAGCCATTGCGATCAAAAAACTTAAATCGGACTTATGCATTCAAAGATACTTTAATAAACTTATCATTACCCTGGTAATCCTTTTTTTGTGTTTTGGCTATTTGGGTTATTTTATTCATTTATTTGTTTTAAAATATTTATACTCCTCCCCTATTACCTAATTCTTAAACCAAAATTTTATTCACATATTTCCACCACCTGGTGGAAATCGCTAAAATTATCACACAATTTATGAACTTCACTAAACTATTACACCACCCACCCTAAATTAATTCCCTTTTTTAACCTCTGACCTGTTCTAGCATATATATATATATATATATATAGTTATTATTGTAATCCAGTTATTTACACTCATTTATGTCAATTGTTTCACACTATCTCAATGTAAAAATTCTATCACATTTTTGGTTGTAAGCAGCTGACGAGAAACCTCGAGATATTATGAATTCATACTATTCTGCATCAATGTTTGTTCTTGCTCTGTTCAAAACAAAACCGATTACCATTTTAAAACATAAGACTAGCCAGCTTGACTGAAGAAATACATTGACTTTAGTAGCAGCAGCAGCAAAAAACCAGAAAACAAAGCAAAATCAGGAAAAATTTTGCTCCAACATTTAGAGTATTACATTAACTTCTGCATTTTAGCACACTGAAACACTAAATTCTGTAGCTACACAAAACAAATAACGGAAAAAGCACAGAACGAAGAAATCCGGCCACCATTGCATACCAAGATGGTGGACATAATAATTGTCGCTAAGCCGACTGTCACGTTTACGAAATTGAGTTGCGTTTAATAGCAGGCCGTATATTTGTCTACAAATTCCCACCAATACACGATGTAAGGAGGAAAAATCGACACTTCCTCTTTATTTACGCCTTTGTTCGCTTTATTCCCCTTTTATTGGTTGCTTGGGTAGTACACGAATAACCGGTTGTGTTGTTTCACGCAAACAAGCAATTATGCTTAAGAATACTAAAATAACTTCATTTCAGTCGGATAATGTGATATTAGTACATGGAAAACCTGGTCTAGTCAATTATTTAGTTACTGTTCCTATTGCTACTTACAGTTATGTGAATGTCTTTTGTTTAATTTGTGCTGAGGTATGACCATTAACCATTTCCTTACCTCTTTAGAGGTAACAATACGTCATAGTAGACACCAAGAAAGAAACAGCTTATGATTGTGCTTAAATTTCAGGATTCACAAGATTTTTGTGGTTCTCAATAGTCGTACAGGCGTTACGAAAATGCATAACCAGTGGAATATTTTTCATTTTTGACTTCGTTTTTACTAAACATTAATAATACATAACCTGTCCTTTCTTTTGTAGATCTTTTCAAATTACAATATGACTTGGCAATTACAATGCATAACGATCGGTGCCCTGGCATCTGTCAACTACTTATACAATATAACGTTTTTTTCTTTTCAATAAATTTCTTTGAACACGTACCACTTTTAACGTCGATTGCACTTGTCGTGTGGTGTGTTATATAAATAATGGCGAGCACAGACGTTTGGGGTTAGACCAAATGTGTGTCAAAGGTTGAAGCAAAATTAGATAAATCGGTGTGTATTAAAGCGAAAAGTAGACAGTTCGGCGTGTATTTATGTGAGTAGACTATTTACCATGTATTTAGGCGAAAAGTAGACAATTCAGCGACTTTGAAAACAGAGCGACATGAAGGGGAGAATCCTTTATTTCGCCTTTTTTGGTCGCTTTGGCATTACGAACTAACCCAAGCTATTATGCCGAAATGCTATTTAGTCGTAGGGATAAATGGATTTCGCGCCGAAATCCAAGACTTGCTATCACTAATGCCTAAATAATAAACAATGTCATTCATCTGAATGGATAGCAATAGTAAAGAGATTAAATAGCTAACATATTTTCCCATGACATATGGAATTTCCTGGTAAATGTTTATGTGAATTTATGCCAATCGTAATATTGTTACTAGTTAGTAAGATCATATTGTTTCCTTCTGGTCATTGTCATCCGTACTAGGAATGTGTGTTAAACTTTATTTTCAAATATCGTGTTTATCGATAACTATCTGAGTCATCTCTACGTTTACCTTCACATGTACATTCATCCTTAGTATTAACGAATTTTCCTTACTTAGAACACTTCATCATTTCTACATGATTAGTTAATGATATACTGATTACTTCAATGCCAACAGTTGTGTGGGTTCTTAATATTTTAGTATAACTTGTCAGTCAAACATTTATTTTATGCATTCTATGCAGTTTTCCTACCGAACATTATTTATAGTGTAAAATGAATAAATCTACCAGATTAATTACCTAATAGGACCTGGATCGATAATAAACACTTAAAGCAAGTTAGATATCAGTAATCTTCAGAACGGCATTTGTCATTTGAAGGATGATAGCGTTTAGATGTGTATTGTTGTTCCTTACCTTGGACTATTCTCCATAAGGAAAGTAGCTTTAAATCCCTATTGTTTTGCTAGCTCCGTGCTACAATTTTTTATGACATTTATTTGTAGATGTCCGTTTCAAAAGGTGAACATAGTCCGTTCTCCCCTCAATGGGTCAACCGGAAATTATATACGCTCATGTTAGTCATATATACACCCAGAGAATTGAACACAGATTCTCCATTGGTCATTGACGATTTGGGATCTGAAGTAAGCGATTCAGATGTTTTACGATTCTACTCTTGTCTTTACTTTTACTTTTGTTGATCTGCTTTTCAACATGTTTCGCTTTATGATTTGAATTGGCTCAAATTTTACTCCCTGTATGGTAAAATGTACAAGTTCGTTCATTCCACTTATATGGTTGGAGTTATCCTCGGTGTACTGTCATTAGCTGTGCGTGGACCCCTAAGTATACAATTCTTGTCGTATTAATCAAAATTAAGAACATCCCGTACATTCCTGCACATTTAAAACATTTTAGCCTTATCGTTCAGATACAATATTTCTTTGCTTTATTCGTCTTTCCTTCAATTTTTGTTTAGAAATACAATTAGTTCATCGCTCCTAATTTTCGCTTTGAATATGTCGTTTGGAGAGTTGCTTGTTGTATTTAAGTCTCGCTTGGAAGACGATTATTATTTAAATGTTTGTCTGGCAAGTCGATAGGCCGTACCCTATGGATCGTCCTAATGATAATCATTGCTAAATGTGTCCTAATAAAATTTGAGTACTACTACGCATTGCAAATTGTATATTTTGAAGCTGTTTATGATTCTTGTTTTCGTTGAAAAGTGATTTCGTAGTCAGTGGGATAAAACTACAGTTGTCTCACAGATTAATCAATTCTCACCTCCAAATACATGTTTACGTATGGCCTGATTAATGATTGACAGTGATCATGTCTGAACATTTGTGAGCACTTTGTTTCTAAAGTTTAAACTGATTAGCAAATGTACTAAACAAATTATCCGTTCTGTTAATTTTTATTTAACGGCCGACGATGGTCATCTACGAGAAATAAACTGGGTATTGAGAACTCAGGTATTATTTATCATTTTAATCTATCTTATTGCCAGCTTCTTCAAGTACAGTTTTTGCGTAACATAAATTATATATTTCTCTACAAGTAGACAAAATATATATAGACAAGGCCTATCGATGTAATTCATCTTCATGCTGCCAAATCAATGTTTTGATGACTTTGATTGCATTTTGTTATTGTTCACATATCTGACTGTTTCACTTGACAGTTTAATTAAATTTGCATTATAATTGACTAACCATTACATTTCTGGTTGAGAGGTTAACTCTCCATCAACGTACTTTTTTGTAATGGATGAATCTGAATTTTTGTAATTTTACAACATCGTTATTGTTATGACTTTAAGTCCAGCTTTTGTCACGTGATTTATCCACCAATCAAAACACGACTTATACAATCTTCGCATTGTGTCAAACCAATGACGCTCGATCGGTATGAGCAGTCTTATTAGTCCTTATTAGTCCTATGTCCGTCTAGCCCGTCCACTTGAGTCCGGAACACAATACCAGCTTCTGCAATATGAATCATTTATTTCAGACATACTCGGTTTATATATCAACCAGACAGACCACAACGTACCATAAAATAGAAAATAACGTTTGTACAATATTTGGCCATTTGTGGCTGTGAACGTGGGAGGCAATAGTCAATAAACTGAACATAGCTTAAGAACCGTAATTCGTACAATAATAAATTATAGGTCAAAATAAAGCTTATAATAAGAGGAATATAAATATACATAATCTAATTATTGAATAGTTACACCATAAGAATATGTAGATAATATTAGTCAATTAATATGTCTCAGGAGTTACTCGTGATTTAATCTTCGCTCGGATATAACAGGGTTCTAATCCTGTACTCACCCTGGATGGTGAGCAGATAGAAGTAGTCGAGAAGTTCGTGTATCTAGGTAGCTACATAAGTGCTGGTATTGGCATGAGTGATGAGATCAATGCACGTATAGTGAAAGGTAGAGCGGTTTATGTCGATCTAGGCCATCTTTGGTGTTTTCTTGATGTCAGTATGGCTGTGAAAGGTCGGATCTACAACGCGTCGGTGAGAGCAGTTCTGCTCTATGCTTGTGAAACCTGGCCTCTCCGAGTTGAGGACGTTAGACGACTCTCTGTGTTCGATCATCATGTCTCCGAAGGATTGCTGACATTCAGGGGCAACACCATGTCAGTAATGCAGAGATTCGGCATCATGTGTTCGGGCACAGAGATGATAATTCAATTGGTGTCACCATCTTGAAACACCGACTTCGGTGGCTTGGACATGTTCTACGAATGTCGTCCTAGAGAATTCCACGTCGTGCATTATTTGCCGACTCTGGGACTGGTTGGAAGAAGCGGAGAGGTGGTCAGTGCATGACATGGTGTCGTGGTATGAAAGAAAGCTGCAGAGGGCTGGTTTCTGTTGGTCCTTCGCGATTCCGGGGTTGGAGTTCTAGAGGTGGTGCAACACAGTGGCTTGAGGTGGTATCAGACATGTCTCCGAATAGAAACCAGTGGCGATCGTGCTGTAATCTTCTTTTACTTTCTTCATGAAATGTGGTTGTATATTCCTTAACTGAAAGATTTCTTCTGCTTGTACCTTTCCATTCCTCCCATTATTATTATTATTATTATTATTATTATTATTATTATTATTATTATTATTATTATTATTATTATTACACTACCTTACACTAATCTGGTCGTTATTGTTCTTTTTCCTTCTTTTACGCTCTTTACCTCTTTTTTTCTTCTCCCGCCCCATTCTCATTATTTTGTGTGGAGCATATATATTTGGTGCCCTCTGGTACCAATATTTATGTGTTCAAGTAAATAAAATAAATATATTGCGTTGCTAAACTTTAAAACGATGTTCGTGGATGGGTAAAGAGAGGGAATTTTCGATGTTTTCAACAATGTTTCTCGCAGTATATGTATTTCTTTTTTAGTGGGTGTGAAATTTACCTTCCTTCGATGTTGCATCCTCTTATCAGCATTAAACAAACTACTATTGGTTATATATTTGATACTATGTACATATAACACGGCACAAATGGAAAAGCTCCTAAATTCTCTCTACGGTCGATAGTAGAGAGAGTCAGCTCTTCCTCTCGAAATGCTCTCACATGGCCACGTGCATACAACCACTGCCAGGGAAGTCCTACTCACTTCCGTTCCGCGGCACGGGTGCTGTTTACGAAATTGAGAGGACGAACAGTGAGTTTCCGAAGCTTTAACCGGGTTGGCAGATATGGAGGATCCACCTAGGTCAGTTGGAAAACCCTAATTCCAAACTAGTGATGCACATGAGCTTCAGGATCCTGTGGGGACAAATGGGGTATTAACTAATTGTTGGTCACCGGCTACCGTGGGTCTACATCTCCTGATGTTGCTCCACTGTCTTGCGGATCAAACTTTTAGGCTCGATTCTCCGAGTGTGGCCCCCTAAGAAAACCACCTGTTTTGGTCTGGGCACCCAAGTAGTATCACAGCCTACACAAAAATCAAGTGGCCTGTGTGACGTATATGTATTCGGTGCCACTTTGTACCAATATTTGTGTTTAAATAAATAAATAAATATAATAACAGATGGGAAAAGAATATTCTTATCGGTTTCTACAATTATTGATATGAATCACTGGTTGCAATAACAACCAGGTGCGCAACTAGCATATTATTGTGCATGGGGGGGGGTACATTTTAGCATTTTATTTTGCGAGTTAATTGATATTCTCATAACCTACTGTGTAGTAATGCGAATGGACTATAACCTGCATAGCATTCAAGTCATCGTAATATTAATAATCCTTGTTGTGCTTAAAAATAACACAATGTTTATCTATGAAGTGTATATAAACCGGTTAATGTCGTGGAGTGTATCACACTAGCCTCTATTTAAATCAACTTGTAATTATTCTAAGTGAATGTCGGTCATGCACACTGTACATTATTCATTATTCCGTCCATCCAGTGTTAATATAAATCATATGATCTCACATAAGTTGAGCGAAAAAGTATCAATCAGTTCCTCGTTGGTTCTGGAACAATTTATGTTTTACAATTTAGAATGAAATCAATGCCAAACAAATTATGGTGGACCAACCTGATTATGTATTGCAATATTTTCTTTAAATATGACGATCGATTTGTAAGTTAACGGATATAAAATAAAAAAACAAAGCAAAATTACATAATCTAGTTAAGTAAGAATAAAAATGTCAATTGAGCAAGTTTAAAACTGAGCAATGGATCTCTATCAAAACCCGTAGACAAGATTCAGAAAAGGAACAACAAGAGGATGGCAGTTAACAACAGCGAAAATCACAGTACAGGCTGAATAAACAAAAGCAAACAAGCAAATGAAGAAGAGCATTAAAGCCGACAAGCAGAAATACGCGGAAGACCTGGCAATGACAGCGGAAAACGTTGCAAGAGAAGGAAACATAGAACAGATATATGACACAACAAAGAAACTGGCAGGGTATTATAGTAAACCAGAGACCGCTCAAGGAGAAAGAAGGTAATCCAATCGCTGAGATACATGAACAGATGAAAAGATGGGCATAAAACTTTGAGAAACTCATGAATAGCCAGCTCCATTAAATCCACCGGACATCGATATATATATATATATATTCTACCTACTCACTTCTTTTTAGTAGTAAATCAGTGAATAGAAAAATTGTGGGGTTTATTTTCTACGAACCTGTTTTAGAACATATCTTAAGAAATTACGAATTGTAGTTCACCGTGAGTTGTTATTATCATGTCATCCTACTTATTTGCTTACGCCTGTCGCCCCTCGTGGAGGAGCATAGACCGCTCACCATCACTCTCCATCCAACTCTGTCGTGGGCAATACTGTCCATTCTTTTAATGTCTGCCTCCAGTTCGTGTCTCAATATGTTATTTGGTCTTTCTCTTTTCCGTTTCCCTTCGGAATTCCACGTTAGAGATTGCCTCATGATGTAGTTTGGTTATTTCCTCAATATATGTCTTATCTACTTGCAGCGTCTTTTCTTAATTTCCTCTTGATCTGGAAGCTGGTTTGTTCTCTCCCACTGTAGGCTGTTGCTGATGGTATCCGGCCGACGGAGATTGAGTATCTTACGTAGACAACCATTTATAAATACTTGTACCTTCTTGATGATGGTTGTGGTAGTTCTTCAAGTTTCAGCTCCTTATAGTAGAACTGTGTTGACGTTCGCATTGGAGATTCTGACTTGGTTTGAGTTTGTTTTGAGTTGCATATGTTCTTCAATTGTAGGAATGCTGCCTTTGCTTTGTCAATCCTCGCCTTCACGTCAGCATTCGATCCTCCTTGTTCATCGATGAAGCTGCTCATGTAGGTGAGAGTTTTCACATCTTGCAGAGCTTCTCGATCAAGTGTGATTGGATTAGTGATCTCTGCTGTATTTGGGGATTTTGTTTTTTCCATTGTGAATGTTGAGGCGTACTGATGCAGAGGCTGCTACTACACTGGTTGTTTTGACCTGCATTTGTTATTGTGTATGGGATGGAAGGACTAGGTCATCTGCGAAGTCCAAACCGTCTAGTTGCATCCAAGCTGTACATTGTATTCCGTGCTTCCCTCAGATTTGGAGGTCTTCATAATCCAGTCAACCACCAGAAGAAAAAGAAAAGGGTAGAGTAGGTAGCCTTGTCTGACTCCAGTCCTTACTTGAAATGCGTCTGTTAGCTGTCCTCCGTGCACTGCTTTGCAATGTAGTCCGTCGTATGAATTCCGTATGTTTTTGACGATTTTCTCAGGTACACTATGGTGTCAAAAAAGTTTTTCCTATCCACGCTGTCAAATGCTTTCTCAATTTCAAGGAAGTTGATGTATAGTGATAAGTTCCATTCAATTGATTGTTCAGTGATGATGCGTACTGTCGCGATTTGATCTGTACACGACCGATCCTTATAGAATCCGGCCTGTTGATCTGGAAGCTGGGCGCCTACTGAATCTTTCATCCGGTTCAACAACACGAACATTTTCCTGGTATTGATAGTAGTGTGATGCCTCTATAGTTTTCACACTTGCTCAGATCTCCTTTCTTTGGTATCTTAATGAGATATCCTTCTCTCCTGTCTGTCGGCACTTGTTCTTCCTCCCAAATCTTCCTGAATAGAATGTGGAGCACGTTTGAAATTACTTTTATTTTTGATTTCAGTGCTCAGATGTCATGTTATCAGATCCTGCTGCTTTCCCACTCTTGAATTGTCTGATGGCCATGCTTATTTTTTCGATCGTTGGTGGAGTGACAGCTATAGGAAGGTCTGTAGGTGTTGCTTCGATGTCCGGTGGATTTAATGGAGCTGGCTATTCACGAGTTCCTCAAAGTGCTCTACTCACCCGTTTACTTTGGTACATCTGCTTAAAATATCCACTTATATAAACTATTGGCTTGATGAGTGACGTCGTCATCCTTGAGTTCGTTGGGGTATTAAAATGTTAAAATTGGTTAATGAATATCAGAAAAAATAAGGATTGTTTAAATAAGTGAATTCCAGGCACTTGATTAGTATAAAGGTAGGTTTATATTAAGAACTGAAAGCAGTGATTGCGTTTTTTCCTTGTAGTTCGACATTACATGATATACGCAATCCTATCTATTTATCAATTAATAACGCGATACTTAGGTTCTACGGCGAGCCTGGTATTAACATGTCGGAAGTTCATCATGTAAATTTTCACTTTGTTTCAATCTCTGGTTTAGCATACCCATCATCCTACAATGTTGATGGATATCCATCCCGAAACCTCCGGACCGGTTGAGTTTGAAATTAATACTTCTCCCTGAAACTTTGCAGTATTTATTTAGAAACAAACCATAAGTAATCTCAGCATTATTAGTTTAACCAAGTTACTTAATAGTTCGTTGATATTCCCTTATACTTTCTAGCTTTATTTTGAATAATACTTATTTTTTGTTATTTCATGTTTTATTCTGTTTACTGTGTTTTATCTATCTGATGATGTGTATAAGAACAACTATAACATGTATGCCAATAATAATAAAAATGAAGCTGACATATAAAGGCAGTTAATCTATTTTTTCCAATTATTTACTAATCGGTTATTTCAGTTATCCGACTTAAAAATCCTTTTTTACTGATTGGGAAAAGAAACTGTCATTTTCATTGAAATTTCATGTTAGATTCTCGTGTTTTTGTGCATATATGTTTCAAATACAGAATGTTATTTTCCTTTTTCTGATGAATTTTACGTATAAACAGGCGAAAAACTGTCTGAAGTTGTTTTTTTTTCTGGGTTATTCTGCTCTCCTCAATGCATTTATTACTTTCATTTCGGATAATGTTATGGTATTTGATGCAGAATATTTTTTCGACCATTCTGTACCAACTTAAATGCAATAATAAATATGAAGGAAATATTTTGATAGATATGTCACATTTGTGAATAATTGAATTAGTTCACAGACTCCACATCAATGAAATACCAAACTATTTTATTTTGTCTCCTCTTTAAACCTTTTTTAAAATCTTTGATGCATTTAATTCCTAGCTGAAAAGAACCTTTCTTCAAACTGTCAAGTAAATTACTACTCAATTGTTATCATTCTCCTTTATGAATAATAAATGTCCCACAATGCCTTTTTTACTCTGGTTTTAACAATATATATTGAATTATATAGTATTGGTTTTGCGTTGTCAGATTTGATTGGGCTATCATCATAGGTAAGCCTAGATCAGAAGTTGTTAAACCGCTGTCTGCGGACCGCTTGTGACCTCCAAGACCAATTAGAAGCATATGTGAAAGCAGCCGGATGTGAGATAATTTGATATTATTCTAGTTAAACATTGGGCTTGGTATTAAAACCGTTGGGGTGTGTTTCATCGTATGCATGGGATGGCGGTTTACGTTAATTCTCACTCGTTAAGTATTATTCTTTCTAGTAATTGTTTTGTGACGATTTGAAGGTTTCAAAGCATTTGGACAACAGTCTAATGTGATAAATGCTGCAGTTTTTTTGTAACTAGGGGGCGCTAATCATTATCTTCAAATGGAATTGATAAAGTTGAGAGCAAGCAGAGACCTTAATTGATTCTTCAAACAAATAACATTGGCTGAATTCTATTCATCTTGTAAGCAAGATAAGTTTCGCAACCTAAATAATTGTACATGTAGTGTTCGCTTTATGGACCAAATTACACTTGCAAATAGGCGTTTTGGTTTATGAACTGAGATAAGTGAACTCTTGGACACAAGTCGACAGTCAGTGTTAGGCACGACAAAAAACAAAGTGCTTATTGACTACAACTCGTTAGTGGAAAACTGTACACTTACATATTTATCTCATTGGTTAGGTGACATCATTAAGACTGATGATTGGGTAATTAATTGTTATTTTGCTTGCTAATTGGTGAATGCCGGTTTCTTAAAAATATTTTCGCATGTTGTATGTGCAACGAATTCGATATGGTATCTGCATTCCTGTAGCCGTTTGACAAGAAAGGTTTTACACCCTTTTTTCTAACCACAAAATTTATGGGAGAGTATGAAATAAATACTAACTTCAGTTTAAGAAAGAAGTCAGTTCTAAACTGTTAAAAGTAGTCTATGTGAAACAAATTATTGGCACTTGTGATTGAATAAATAATTACTAACTAGATGGAGTTACTTCTTGGTCATAATGCATTTGTGTCATTGCAACCGATCCTGAGTCGTGTCATCCAATGTCTTTAAATAATCATATGGACTTCAGTCAGATAGTCTTCACCTACCACTATGGCTCTGAACAACAGTCAGTAACTTTATGGACTGATACCATATCTTGCTTTCGAATTTAAAGATCTTTCTCTGTATAAATTGACAAGAATCAATTCGGACCCATACTTATTTGATTACATAAGTTTGTAGTAACACCACCGAAATTTCTTTACAGTTTGTTGATTAATGCTTAGTAGTTTGAAACGAAACAATAAGATAGGAGCTTGATAAAGTTTTTCAAAAAAAGTAAACGACGAATTATTTTCATTTTAAAAATTGTCCTTCTAGATTAAAGTACAGGAATCGATCACAGATTGCAATAAATCATGGTTACTTTTGGGTTTAAAACAGAGTGGTTTCGGAAAAGGACGATGGAACGGATTTGGTGGTAAAGTCGAATTAAGTGATGCGAACCCAAAAGCTGCTGCACTTCGAGAACTGAATGAGGAGTCTGGTTTAACACTTGATGAGTCTTCCGTTGACGAAGTTGGTCGTCTATGGTTTACTTTCGCTGAGACACTGGAGGTATGTATGTTATTTTGAAACATTCTCGTAAATTACATGATTTATTCGTTTATTGATTGAATTAAGCATCATGCATTTTCATTTTTTGATCGAGTTGAGGAGGAAATAGTAACTTCACTGTTGATGATATTGGATGAGGTTTGAATTACGTTAAAAATCGACTAGCGTGCGAAACGTAAACCACTAAACCCCAGCTCAATTGTTTAAAGTCACTGTATTAACTGTAAAACTTGAAGGTTCTTCGTCCAATGTCATATAGGCTTCTGGAGACGTATTACTGAGTCGTCTTACATAACGATGGTAAAATTAACGTCAGTTTGATAAGCATTAACTAGTTTATTACTTCTGGTGGCTAAACAACGGTTGACACCATTGCTTTATTGTTTAGACAGAAATATACTTACTAAATTAATAAACATTAGCAAGAATATCAAGGTATTTAATTAAATCACATTTATTACTGAGGATAATATTCGCAGATAGATTTTGCTCATATTTTATCGATAGTAAATACATTGTTATCTGCTAAATTTGAATCGGTATATCATACTATATGGGTTTACGATAAAAATATCCTCAAATCAACGTAATATAATTCTTGCACGGTTTAGTAGAAATAAAAGATAACGATTTTACAGTAACCACGAATGAGGACTATTCATGATAGGAGATTACTTATATCACCATAAATTACAAACAACACAGTATTTGTGAAATGTCAATTAGTGATAAAAACAAAGTGTAAAAATCTATCCATCTGGCGTTGTATTTTATGCGTAAAGGACCAATACATTTTTGATTTTATTAATAGTTTATCAAGCCTTTGACTTTAACATTCTTAAACATTGAAAGAACGGTACAACAGACCTAACATAATACCTTCGAAAACTTGAATATCACACATATATTCGTAATATCGGATTTCGTCCACATTAACTGAAAATATCAGCCAAAGTGACAGATCGTCAACTAGGAGTTTTGTGGTGTATTAAGATAAAATTAGTTAGGGATAATCTAAATTAGGGGTTTATAAAAGACCTAGGCGGATCTAAATTATTGTTTACGTTGAAGTCGGCCTTAGTAACGGATTGGAATCAAGTGGGGAACCAATAGAAACCAGAGAACATTGAACATCTGTTTTGTCTTATTACGAGGACGTCACTGCTGTTTTCAACAAAAGTCCTGTTCTTAAAGTTGTTGGAAAATCGTCGCGGTTACTCAATTAAACCAACAATATATTTAACAGACCTACAGATAAGTTCTTTTTACACCACCTTGTGCGACTAATGCAAAACTTTCAGGATCGAGTGCGAATACCTTTAGATCAAAGATCTAATATTCGAGAACTTCTGGAATAGTCTACCCGACAAGGTAACTTAACAACTTAAGTACTGAAAGTTTGTGATTACTCACAATTGTTCCTTGAGGTCAGTTTCTTCACTAGCATTTTGTAATATTTCTGCAGTATGTTTCATAAATTTTTTCTAAAGTAGTTATAAATTCATGCCTCAGATAAATTGATCTAACACAAATTTCTCAAACTGTTTGGAAATGATTCATGGGAGTTGCATTTGATAATTCTTAAAAACTCCGGGTAAATGGTGAAGAATCTTCATAAACATTTTATTTAAGATGATGAATTTCTTTTCTTAACCAGCTGGGTGTTTTGAATATCTGAATAGCGCTCTTATACAAGCAAAACGGCTGTTTACATATTTGCTCGATAGAATTTCGATGTATGAGTGTACTAATCCTCATGGTCCTCCTCTAGAAAAAAGAGAGTCCAGCACGGAAGTATGTCGTTGGTTTGCAAAGTTTATTAGGTGCTGCATGATTATGGTTAACACAAAGAGAATGGTTCGCCCGGACAATACTTTTCCGCCGACTGAACGTACAGTTTAGCTAGCTGTTTATCCTTCAATGCATGTATTAGTTTATATAATATTTGCTCTATGCGATTAGTCTTTCAATTTCGTATGAGACTCATATTTGACAGTTAGATTTCTTATTTCTTGTTATTGAAATTTTAAGGTGTTTTAAGAAAGACAAGGAGAGAGAGAGCAGTGTAACGTGTGTAACAGTAAACTATAGTCTATTTTTAGTTTGAGAGTTATTTATCGGTTGGTTCTGTACGTATGGTTGAGAGTTTACTGCCAGTTGAACTTTCATCAAGCATAAAACCGATCCGCATCCCATCGGATCTGTATTCCATTAGATCGACACTGGAACTGCTAAACCCTATATCTGACCCCTTTGCTTTGTATCTGTCTAGTCCAAAGGAACTCCTAATAATATGATCGTACACCGAATTTTGAAAGTTTAATAAAATCACAAAAGATGACTCTTTCTCATTGTCACGTACGGGTATATTACACGCACTAGCTAATTCAAAATGGTTTTCAACATTCGATTTGGCATTTGGTTGTTCTCAAGTTGAAGTGTTTTAATGTGATCAAATTGTTCAGTAGAATATTTCATTCAAATATACTAATCAACAAATAGGTTTTGTCTTTTCAATTTAAATACAAAATTTCTCGAAGTAAAAGATCCAATTAAAAATGATCAACAGATCGTAGAGAAATACAAATAGCTGGCTTCGCTTTTAAGCTTGTCTTCATGACGGTGGTTAGAAAAGCAATGCTACGTTTGACGAAATTACGATATCATCTAAAACCGGCAGACAAAACAAAAGTCAGTAAAACAACAACTGGACAAACTAAGCAATTCCATTGAGCTCCAGCTCTGACAACTAGAGGGAAAAGATCATATTCAGTCGAGGGAAATGTTACAAAAGCAGTGAGAAGCATGAACGAACAAGCACTCAACTCATACATACATATACAGTACAAAAATGTTCTTGATAAACTTCACAAAATAGCTTACTAAAAGAGCAAAGAGCAAAACAACCAATGACATTTAAGGTGCTTCCGAGTGAGAAATATAAACTGAAGGTGAATGTGGTCATTTGCGGATTTTGGCATGAAAATGAGAAGTTCGAATTTCTATGTTGAAGATGCGAAAGTGATACGTTTACGAAGTGATTTCTACGGATCTAGCATCCACATCAAACAAAGAAAACTCTACGGATAAATTATCCACCCTATAGAGAGCGATTTCACGTATGTGGAATGCGAATAGTGCTTGATTTGAACTGAGGCTTACAAATTGTAAGTTGAAATAATGGATTGATAATGAAGTAATTTCTTATTTGAACACCAAACATTAGCTATTAGTATTTCTCTACTATCCGTCGGTCAATTGAAGTTGGATCTTTAATACTATCATTCACATATTAGATTTGGTCTACCGTTTTTTATCCACATCATCAAACATCCCTTTATTTTATTTCTAAAATTGACATTATAAGCGGAACTAATTCGAGATTTTTATTTGCAGTTAACTCTTCATAAATTAATTCTATTTGTTCATATCTAGTGGTCCTTTAAAGTGACTTTCTTGAATTACTTCTCCTCTTATACAAGACTTGTTATTTGGATATGAATTAATATTTCAGGTACTGTACATTGTCCTATTCACTATCAAACCGCGCACCCATTTCTTCCTACAACAATATACAACTGAGCACGATAACCTCCACTTATGTAGCTGGATATTTTTCAAGCTTTTTTGATTTATAGGATCTAGGTTTTTCGTTACGTTATCATATGAACTCTCTGTTCGAATACCTTAATATTATGTTTGATCATGTTTAATAATCCTGGTAGTAGATAGAAACGGGTGTTTTGCATTGTTCTCCCGCTTTCTTTTTTCTCTAATGGTTCGATAAATTTATCTACTCGATTTGCCATGAAATATAGACTTAATTATGTCATAGCTTCGGTTTGGGCACCCGGGCAGTATCACAGCCCTCACACATATCGAATGAGATTTGTGTGGCGCATATGTATTTGGTGCCTCCTTGTACCAATATCTGTGTTAAAATAAATAAATAATTAATTAATTATGTCATAACATATTTGTGTTCATTATGAGCATTTAAAAACTATTCATATTGATCAATAGGATTGTATAATCCCATAGAATTGATTTCCGAATTTCATATTGGTGTTTTACTTGTTCATGAGCGAGCCATCCATTCGAAGTTATCCAATTTAGAAAACGGGATTTTCACAATAACCAATCATATCCATTTACTTCTACTGATGAAGTAACCACTTTATTCACTTTAAATAATAAAGAAGTATGCTATATCTTGAAAGTTTATTTCTTGATATACCGCGTATAACCGAGCACTAGAACACCAAAACCCTTCCAAGTCACAATAAGAAGGTTAATGAAAGGAATATTATTCCCAAAATTGTCAATCATAGTACAAAATTGTCAGGTATTTATAGTTTTTAGTGAGAACGAAATCATCATAACAGTCCTCCAATCCGCATAAAGGGGGTTATTAGCATTATCCAATCGGGAAGCTACACGTAGGAATTCTAAAATATTCTTCCGAAAGGTGATTGGATGGAACGTCTTCGGCTCATTCTGAGCCTCTTACAGCTTCCTCGAGTTCACCGGTGGTCCGTCGTCACAAAGTATTTGTTGTACCTATTGATCATACTGGTTACATTTATTTTCTTCAAATTTATAAAAAAAATATACTTGTATATTCATAGAGTTTATAGTCATTTATTTATTTGTTTATTATTATCATACGATGCTTCACCTTATAAACAAGTGAGTCATATGATTATTTTTTACCGTATATAAATATATTTTCCAATTCAATCAATAATTGGAAAGAATCCGTGTTTTCCACCGGTTTATTTCATTTATCATCGTCATCCACATTTTGTGTATGTCATTTACCTATATTTGCATTATTATTTTTACTATCTCATTTTCCTTCTTTTTTTCTTCCCTATTAATACATTATAATTATGATTTATTGTCTGTTTTAATTATATAAATTTTAATTAGTTGTGTTATATTGTAGTCTAAAATGATTGATTCTGTGTATTAATTATGATTTTAGTAAGTGTACTGTT